ACCAGCAGGTAAATGGCCACTGCCCCGTTTTCTGTGGTTACCCAGGAGATACAAAGCATCAAACCTCTTGGTGCCTCCCAGGGAGTCCCCAGCACCCCTGGCCTGGCCCCTGCGGCAGGCCTTGGGTCTGACTGGTTCTGGCGGAACCTTCTGGTTTTCCCGGTCCACTCATACTCCAGGCCCTCTCTCCTCTTCACGGAGAAGCCTGATGCTGGGTCTGGGCTGATGGCCCCAGGAGGGGGCGTGCAGAATCCAGGCCCTCGGTGACAGTGCGGGCTCACTCCATCCCCAGTCCTTGTTAGGGAGGGCATGCTGTCCCCTTCTGATGTCACGAAACCGTGCTTTGTGTCACTGCCTGACATGGCAGCTGGGCCCCTTTGTCCCCACTTTGTGAGATGCCCTTTGTATGAGGTGCTCTGGGGCCGGCGTTGTGGTATAGTTGGGAAAGCTGCCGCCTGCAGCCCTGGCATCCCATATGGGCGCAGGTTCAAGTCCCGGCTGCTCCACTTCCCATCCAGGTCCCTGCTAACACTCCTGGGAAAGCAGTGGAAGATGGCCCAAGTGCTTGGGCCCCTGCACCTGCATGGGAGACCTGGATGAAGCTCCCAGCTGGCCTATCTCTGGCCATTGTGGCCATTTGGGGAGTGAACCAGCAAATGGATGATCCTTCTGTCTCTGTGGCTCTACCTCTCAACTAAATTAAGAAATCTTAAAAAAAAAAATTCATCATGTCCTTTAAAAATTGATTATTTAATTTAAAAGGTAAAGAGATTGGGGTTGGTGTGGTTGTGATACAGTGGGTTAAGTCTCAGCTGCTCCGCTTCTGATCCAGCTCCCTGTTAGTGCACCCAGGAAAGCAGCAGAGGATGGCCCCAGGGCTTGGGACCCTGCCACTCATGGGGGTGACTCGGATGGATTCCCGACTCTTGGCTTCAGTCTGGCTCAGCACTGGTTGTTGTGGCCATTTGAGGAATGGGAGATAAATCTTTCTCCCTCCCTCTCTATACCTCTGCCTTTCAAATCATTTTTTTTCTTAAGATTTTATTTGAGAGGTAGAATTATGGACAGAGCGAAATGTCTTCCATCTGCTGGTTCACTCCCCAAATGGCTGCAAAGGCTGGAGCTGGGCCAATATGAAGCCAGGAGCTTCTCCCGGGTCTCCCACATGAGTGCAAGGGCCCAGATGCTTAGGCCACCTTCCACTGCTTTCCCAGGCCATCAACAGAGTTGGATTGGAAGAGGAGCAGCTGGGACTAGAACCAGCAGTGCCCATATGGGATGCTGGCACTGCAGACAGCAGCTTTATCTGCTACGCCATACTGCTGGCCCCAAATAAATCAATCTTAAGCAAAATAAAATAAGGTAGAGAGATCTTGCATTCACTCCCCAAAATGGCCGAAACAACCAGGTCTGAGCCAGGCTGAAGCCAGGAGCTTGGGACTCTGTCCATGTCTCCCATGTGGATGGCAGAGACCCAGACACTTGACCCATCACCTACTGCCTCCCAGGACGTATATTAGCAGGAAGCTGGAACTGGGAGCAGAGCCAGGACTTGAACCCAGACACCTGTGGCAGGCCTGTATTGAGTTCCTGGCTCCTGCCTGCAGCATGGCCCAGCTCTGGCTGTTGTTGATATCTGGGGAGTAAAATGAGGGATGGACGATCCTTTCTTTAAGATTTATTTGTTGGCCGGTGCCGCGGCTCACTAGGCTAATCCTCCGCATGTGGCACCAGCACCCCGGGTTCTAGTCCCGGTTGCTCCTCTTCCACTCCAGCTCTTTGCTGTGGTCCGGGGGTGCAGTGGAGGATGGCCCAAGTCCTTGGGCCCTACACCCCACCATGGGAGGCCAGGAGAAGCACCTGGCTCCTGGCTTTGGATTGGTGCAGCCGGCGGTAGCAGCCATTTGGGGGTTGAACCAACAGAAAGGAAGACCTTTCTCTCTCTCTCTCTCACTAACTCTGCCTGTCGAAAAAAAAAAAAGAATAAAGAAAGATTTATTTATTTGAAAGGCAGATTGAGAGAGGGGAGAGAGGGGAGAGAAGGGAGAGGGGAGACCCAGAAGAAGCTCCTGGCTTCAGATCAGCCCAGCTGAAGCTGTTGCAGCCACCTGGGGAGTGAACCAGCAGATGGAAGACCTCTGTGTCTCTACCTCTCTCTGTAACCCTTTCCAATAAATGGGATACATCTTTAAAAAAACAAAAAACAAAAAACAAAAACAAAAACAAAAACCAAAAAACTGGGCTTCCTGGCGCCCGAGTCTCCCTCCCATGTCCCCTCTTCCTCCTCCTTGAGCAGTTGGTGCTATCTTGGAGACACTGTCTTCTCTGGTCCACGGAACGGGGACGCTTCAGTGTCCTAAAAAAAAAAACAAAAAAACAAAAAACACAGTGGCATCTTGGAAAAAAGAAGTGAAAGCAGTCTCTGGGATTGTGGGCAGGGAAAAAGGGGGCATGGTGCGGGGCCACTGGGTGCCCACGTGACTCCGGTGCCCCGCGTGCCCGAGGCCGTTGTGCACCGGCCACTCCCACAGTGACCTCCAGGTGCCTTCTGCTCTCACCAAGCAGAAGAGGGGGTGTGACTCACTCTGCTCCTCCCACCCAGCCAGGGGTGTTCCTCACACCGTCCATTTTAACTCCCTGAAGTCTCCTCGAACGTGTTTGTCCACAGAGGTCACACGGTCACAGATTTCCTGCCTGGGGCACCCAGCCCAGCACTGCACAGGCTGCCATCTCCACGCCACCACAGGGTCCGGTGTCCCCACCAGCACGGGGGGACAGCATGCCTACCTAGGCCCAGTGTGCAAATGCAGGATGTTACAATTCTCTCCATTGTGGAAGAGTTAACAGGAAGGCATCTGTCTGGACTCTGGTCATCAGAGGTGCCCACCTAGGTCCCGTGTGGGTCCACAGCACTGCTGTCCTTGAAATCCCCTCAGAGGTAAAACCTTGCCTGCACTACTGCCCTCAGCACTTGGCTTTTAAACCCAGACCCCTGGGGCTGGTGCTGTGGCACAGCAGGTAAAGCCTCCGCCTGCGGTGCTGGCGTTCCATACGGACACAGGTTCAAGTCCTGGCTGCTCCACTTGCAACCCAACCCCTCACTAATGGCCTGAGAAAGCAGTGGAAGATGGCCCAAGTGTTTGGGCCCCTGCACCCACCTGGGAGCCCAGCTCCAGCCATTGCGGTCGTTTGGGGAGTGAACCAGCGGGTGGAAAATCTGTCTTTTCCTCTGTCTGTAACACTGCCTCTCAAGTGAGTAAATCTTCCAGGGATGCAGGGATTTCCCGCGTGCAGCCCCGGCCGCTGGCTCTGTCAGACATGGCAGGAGCTCACGCTTTTATAGTGAAGGGAAGTTGAGTGAGAGGAAACCCACGTGATGGGCTTGGTGCCGAGACAGGACACTGCATTTTCAGAGGATCTGGACGTGACAGGGACCCGAGTGCCACCTTCCACCATGGCTTCTCCCAGCACAGCTAACGTCCCATCGGCAATGACAGCACAGCCCTAGCATGACACCACAGGCCAACCCGTGTCCTGTCAGCCTCTTGTTCCCATTCCTCATCCCCAGCGGACACGCGCAGTGGGACAGGCGCACACGGGCACCACCTCTGTCCACTTCCTTCTCCCAGCCCCACAAGTGACTGCATGCCTTCAGGGGCTGGCCCAGGCACAGCAGTTCAGATGACACCTAATGCCTGCATCTCACCATGGAGGTCTCAGTTTGAGTACTGGATCCATTTATTTATTTATTTATTTTTTTTTAAGGTTTATCCATTTTTATTTTGAAGAGGAGGGAGGTAAAATGTACTTTCCATCAGCCAGGCCAGGCTGAAGCCAAGTGACTCCATCCTGGTCTCCCACAGGCGCACTAACAGGGAGCTGGGGATGCTGGGACTCGAACCAGCAGCTTCACCTACCACAGCACCACACTGGTGCTGGTTCCACTTCTGACCCAGCTTCCTGCTCGTGTCCCTGGGAACCAGCAGCAGACATGGCAGACTGGGCGGCGTTCTGTGCTCCTGACTTCAGCCTGGCCCACCTCAGGCTGCTATGGCATTTGGGGAGTGAGCCAGTGGATGGAAGCTTTGCCTGCCTTTTGATGAAAAATATATATTTTTTTAAATGATTGTCTTCAGCCATGCTTGGTGCCAGACTCAAAGTGCCCCCATGTCCCACCCAACTCCCAGGACCAGAGACGCACGGGGGCCTGGGCGTGTCGATGTGCTCTCAGATGGTGCAGTGCAACACTGGGTTCCTGCCAAGGTAAGGAGCCCACCAAAGTCAAGCAGGGAAAAGGGTCCTTGGTCTTCCGTGCTGAACAGGATGACAACGACTTACGTATCTGCCTCCTATGGGATGTGCACAACAAGGGAAACCAGTGCCACTCCCTCCCGGACAAAGCAGGTGTCAGAACACCCAGGCGAGGGTTCCAGAGGCCCCCCCGAAACTTCCAGATGGGGCCGGAGGAGCTCATTCCCCCAGTGGCGTCTCATAGTCCTCCGACATTTCAGGGACACCTTGCAGAACCGTTTGATGCGACACAAGAGCGTCTGCGAAGACCTGCTGGCGCCCGAGGACTTGGCTCCGGGGCCCTCTGCTGATACGGGTCTGAAGCGGGAGCGGCCGAGGAGCAGGTGCTGTGGGCCTGGAGCCTGTGCTCTCTGCTCTGTCAGCGAGCGAGTCAGTGCATCACACCCGATACAGACAAGAACCGCACGTTGGGCAGCCCAGGACATCTGTAGGGGCTCACGGTCAGGAGGACGGGGAGATGTGCTCGTGGCACTGCCTTCCGCCCCCTATGCATCCCCAAATGCCCGAAGAACCATCTGGAAAACCCCACAGCCCACCCAGCTGCAGGGAACCAGTTCACGGCCCGCCACTGGCTCTGCTAAGAGGAGTTAGGAGGGCATGCAGATTTGAGACGCACTGGAGGACAAAGACTAGAACTCCTCCCAGTTCCACGGGGGAAACTGCAATTAAACTATACATGCACAGCTCTGTTATTTTGCTAATACAGGGACACAATTTAATGATTCTAATTTTTTTGTAGGTTTTTTTTTTTTACAAGTCAGGTGCCATAAACATTCAAATAATCCATCTTTTAAAAAGTACGTTTACAACATCAAAAGAATTAAGATGAAATATAAACCCTTTCTACTTACAATTTTTATACAGATTAACCAAATCACAAACACCACAAATAAATGTTATATTGTAACAATATAATGAATAGACATTCGGATTCTTAATAAAATCTTCCTTTAACATTTTTTTAACTTACCATTATACTAAATAACCTATGCGGAGTTTCAGGGTACAATACCAAGAAGGCACCAACAATACAAAGCGGATACAAAGCAGTTTGAGAACACTCTCGAGTGCGCTACACGGAGGAACAGCACGGAAAGGCAACAAGCTTTGGGTGAGCCCGCTGCGGCTCTGGCAGAGCTGGCCCTGGAGTCCCAGCCGCCGCGGTCGCGTGGAGCCGGGCGGCAGGAGGAGTGAGCACGCCCGCACGGGGGTCGCCCGCATCGGGGGGAGGTCCTCTCTGCCTTGCCCACCCTTCCCCACACCAGCGCAGCCAGGTTAAGCACAAATGCTTTAAAAATGTGTAAGCAAAAGGATTGCGGAGTTTCAAAACCACTACATTTACAAAAATAGTTCCCTTAAACTTGGGATTGCTCCAAAACATTGATTTACAAATATAAAAGTGTTATGGAGGACTGGAAGCATGGGTGGTGCGTGTGTCTGGGTGTATTAACATACTGCTACCATGCTATAGAAAAGTCACCAATTTAAAAACCCTATTAACAGAAGCGAATGAAGAGCTGACAGTGTCCTCTGCATGGCGTGCGGCCTTGGGCAGGGCAACCCTGAGGGGACGGCCCTGGCCCGACGCACCTACCGTCCCCTGTGGCAGCAGAATGTGGGTGGCCCCCCCACGCCGCGCCCTTGAGTTCTCCCCCACCTGTCCCGCGGCCTCTGCTCCACGCTCAATGAAAGGACTGGAATGTTTCAACAGGAATTTTTTGCTTACATTTTAGACACCAAAAAAAAAAAAAAAAAAAGCCGTTGGTCTGAGAGCTGATCTGAGCGCACTGCCGGCAAGCGTGGATTCCGACGACCGAATCTGCCAGCCTCAGTGAACGCCTTGGTTCTGACCGTCTCAGTTACATCTGGAGTGACCAGGGACAAGCATGGGGCTCATGGTGGTGAGGAGGGGCTGCAGGAGCCCCCAGCCCTCAAGAGATTCGCAGCTGAGGCTGCTTTCTGTCTAGAAGGGCACTGCAGATGAGCCTCATGACAGCGCTAAGAAGTACAAAGAGGCGAGCCAGGAAGCTGGAGGCGCTCTTGTGGGAACGCAGCTGACTCGGCAGAGCGCCAGTTAACAGTCGGAGACCTCTGCCTCACTGCCGGGCCCCGGGGAGAACAGCAAGTTATCTCGGAGCAGGAGCCGACGTGGTGATTCTGAGGCTGACTCAGCCACGGGAGGTGTGAGGATCAGCACCCTGGGGTGCTGGGGTTCTGTCTCAGGGCTCGACAGAGAATCTGGGGCCTATCATTTGAAAGAACGTTTCTGCTCTGTGAGCCAAGGAAGGGCCCTAGGGACCTGGCCTTGAACTCATCTAGGGGAGACTACAGCGGGGGGTGTGTGTGTGTCGCCTGGGGCGGGGGAGTGAGGCCGAGGGCACTCCTGTGTGCCGCGAGGAATGTACCTGGCTGTCCGTCAGACATGCGGACCCAGAGGAAATCGACACTGAATCTTAAGATGGATATGAAGTTAAGAGCTGTACATTTATTTCCATGAATTACAAGTGCATTGCTGTTCATATTGGCAGGCAGTCTTTATAGAACCCATTCTCCCACTGCTGTCCAAAAAAAAAAAAAAAAAAAAATCAAACACGAAGAAAAAGGACAGCTGAGAAATGAGAAGCTAAAAATAGAATTCCTTTCCCTAAGTGATCTGCTGGGTAGCATTTTCCGTGGAACACAACTCCGAGGTAACAACAGAGTTTTCATGTCAATCACAGGCATGTGGCACTTGGACAGTCATCTCTGCACAGAAAGCTGTAACAGTCATGCGAGGGTACAGGAATCACTGAACAAGGCAAACTTCTCACCAGAGCGAGCAGTGGGGGAGTCAGCAGGCGGCACCGCACGGGGACAGAACAGGGTCAACTCCACAGCACACGGTGGCAGAGCAGATACCGGAAGGAGGTCGGGAAGCCACGGAGGGCGCTCCAAACACGACTTAGTGCTAGCGTTTTCTGATGGTCCTAACTGCAGTATGGGAAATGTCCGCGAGCGCTCGGCGGCGGCACAGGGCTTCATCACACACTGTATAGCATAGGTTGAAAAATGAACTTGAGATGCGGACATGCTGTAGAAGGAAGAAGAACTGTACACTCTCTCATTGAAAGACGCAGTGCTCCTCTCTGCCAGCCCCTGGGGATCGGACGCGGCTGCCCAAAGCCACGCTTCTCCAGGAATGCCGTCCACCTTTGCATCGCTTCGTGCACGCCTTGCACATGCAGGTACTGCGTGTGACGCGGGTTGGTGAGTGTGCTGCCGCTACGATCGGTCTAAGTGACCACGGGCACTCTGCAGAGTGGCTGCGCTGGGTGCAGCACTTCCTCTCTGCCTAGAGAAATGAGTGGGGCTGCTGAAAGCGTGTCAGTGACGGAGGTGACGCGAGGGAAGATGGGACAGCACTCCCAGGGAGCGCCTGCTGCCAACACCACACCCAGCGGTGCCATGAGCTCCTGCTCCGGGGACAGTTATGGTCCGAGGTGAAGTGCAAAGTCGGGGCTGTCACTGACTTAAAGTGCCCTAGGTAGCAGCCTTCCCTATTGTGAAGTGAGAGGCCAGTGACTGGCGCCGGTCTGGAGAGAGCCTGGCTCTGCGGAGGCTGCAGGGCTCAGCGGGTGTCGCCCAGGCAGGGGCTCAGGACAGGGAGGAACCACTGCATCTTTCAAACCAGAAAGCGGGTAGTGACTAAAGCAACGGGAAGCAGGAGGTGCACCGGAAGTGCACACTGCCGCAGGGCACCGCTGGGCGGCACACACAGGGGTGCCGGGAGGAGTCTCCGGACTGAGGAACTCTGAAAGCATAAAAGCCACAACTACCAGAAACCGCCCCTTCGAACGGCTCAAAGGAGTCAAAGTGGATAAGCCGGGACGGGCTGCAGACGGGACTGGGGGCGAGAACCGGGAAGAAGCACACCGACGTCTGAGCACGTCCAGTCCTCTGAAGCCCTCGTGCTGTTAAAACACAAACAGACAAACCGACGTGTCAGGACTGAGCCACAGCAATCAACAGCAGCATCACAAAATGGAAACCCGGGCAGAACGCGCGGCGTGAACACATCCTTGGCATCTCCGGCAGCAAATCAAACTAGAGGAGTGGAACAGCCAAGGGAGCAGACAGCGCCCACTGTAGTGTAGTGGGTAAAGCGCCGTCTCCAGCGCCGGCATCCCATACGGGCGCCAGTTCAAGGCCTGGCTGCTCCACTTCCAAGATCAAGAAGTTACACTCTGCATGAAATCTATTTCTGCCACACACAAGCTGCTGGCTCGCCAGCCTGAGCACCAGAAGCCCCTGGAGCCCCGCTTAGAACAGACCGCTGTGGGCACAGGGCGACCATGCTGGGGGAAGCACCGGGCATCCACGCACGTGATGGCTTCACTGCCTGTCTGTTCACGATGTTCCTTCCTCACAGGAAGCGAAGGCCACCCTTCGAATCACATTCTATGTTCTCTGGCTCTGGTGAGGGAGTCTGGCTGACACAGCTGGTGGGTGACCAGGTGTCTCAAAATGCAAACCAAATACTCTTTCCTTCTGAGACCTTCACTGGTGTGAACTGATTGCTAACACGAAAAGTCTCACAGTGGGCCTGGTGCTGTGGCGCAGTGGGTTAAAGCCCCAGCCTGCAGCTCCGGCATTCCATATGGGCACCAGTTCAAGTCCTGGCTGCTCCCCTGTCGATCCAGCTCTCTGCTATGGCTAGGAAAGCAGCGGAGCATGGCCCAAGTCCTCGGGCCCCAGCACCCGTGTGGGAGACCTGGAAGCATCTCCTGGCTTCAGATCAGCTCAGCTCTGGCCACTGCACTCCTTTGGGGAATGAACCAGCAGATGGAAGACCCCTCTCTCTGGCTCTATCTCTCTCTGTAACTCTGTCTTTTAAATAAATAATTCTAAGGAAAAAAAAAGTCTCACAGTGTCACTCAGAAAATTCACAAAATGGGCAGAGGAGGAAGAAAGCTGACCTTCATGGTGTCACAGGACAGGGTGGTCGGGAGACGGCATGGGTGGAAGTGGACTTGTTACAAGGCATTAACCACACACTCTTAACCTGTTGACGGAAACACTCCCTAGAAGGAACCCTTAAGCAAGGTATCATGAGTATACTCCGACCCCTAAGGGCCACCCCATGGACACCACGGATGCTTGGGCTCCAACAGCAGGGGACACCTGGGGGCCTCTTCTGCATCAGAGGTTTGATTTCATTCACTCGTGAGAGAGACAGAGAAACGTGTGTGCTCCCAGCAGCTAGCTCATGCCCCAAACTCGCTGTGGCTGGAGGCCAGGGGGCCATGACTTGGCTCATCACTGCTGCCTCTCAGGATCTGCATCAGCAAGAAGCTGGGGACAGCTAGGTCTGAGTCCAGGCTCTGACGTGGGACACGCGTGTTAGGTGTCTGGCTGACCAGCTGCTACAGCTGACCGGCCTGCTACAGCTAAGCGGCTGACCCCTGGCTCTCTGACTGGAGCTTCGGACCTCAAGTATGACGCTCCTAGGTGTTCTGAATTCCAGACCTTTCCCAGACAGCAGGCTGGTCAGGGGCCGTGTGAGAGACCCCAAGGACAGGCATTCTCCTGACACAGTCGGGAACAGATGCTCAACCATGTTCATCCCGCCTCCGTGATCACAAACGTGGGACAGGCATCAGCGCTCCCTGCCACACCTCCCTCTGGACGCACCCTATACTCCAGGTGACCAAGGTCCAGGTTGGTCCAGGTGCTGGACACTTCCTCTGAAACGCACGACAGAAAACGAGGGGGACTGATGGGGGAGATGGAGGCGTGGATGGACGAAAACATGAGAAAACAAGTACACTGGACTGCAGAGTCCAGGTGGTGGGATACAGATGTCCGCCGTCAAATTCTTCCCGCTCTCCAGAACACCTCAGAAGGTCACCAGAGAACACCAAGGGTGACGGGGTGTGGGTGTCATAACACTGGCTGGGATGCCCACGTCACATACAGAGTGCTGGGCTGAGAGCCCAGGCTCTGCTCTCAATTCCAGCTTCTTGCTAATGTGCATGCTGGGAGGGAGCTGGGGTCCTTACCAGCCATGCAGGAGACCCACGAGTTCTTGGGTGTTTGGGGAGTGAGCCAGCAGATAGGAACTGTTTCTTGCACACACGCATGTGCACACACACACACGCACACATGGGAAGAACAGAAGCACATCTAAGCATCTATGAACCTATGTGGTCTATGGGGCAACCGAAGGACACCGAGGTGACGCTGCTGCTGCCCCTCTGCCCTCGCAGCTGGGCCACTGAGCTCTCTCTCGGTCTGTGTCCACATCACGTGGCCAGCAGGCTGGCACGTCACTTTCCAGGGTCCTCCTCACACTGTTCCCGCACCCTTACCACCTGCCGGCTTGCTGAGCCAACACCTCAGGACTGGTAACTTCCCTGTGAGGGAGAGCTGGGCTCCGTCCGGTCCCAGGCTCGGCCTCTGTCTCTGCACTCCTTCCCACGCACACCCACGCCACCTGACCTTGGCCAGGCTGCCTCCCAGCATTCCCATGCCACGTGAGCATGCTGGGCCTTGCCGTCTCTGTGAGAGCAGCTGGCACAGCACCGACTGCAGGGATGGTGGAGGCCGACCTGCAGCACCCCTGATGCTCTTACACCAAGCGTGCGCTGGGCTGCTCTGCTTGCGCTCTCTCGGGGAGGGGGGGGGCCCACGTGGGTGCCTGTTCTCACCCCTGGTGCCCCACGCTGCGCCTGGCACGGGAGCACGTCTGAGCCCAAGGATGAAGTGTGGGGAAAGCGGCAGCCAGGCGGCTGCAGGAAGAGCGACCGTGCGGGAGAAACGCGAGGGAGTCGCTCAGCTCAGCTTTCTGCCAGCAAGCCTGGGCCTGTCACGACCGCCCCGCTGGGTGCAAGGCTGTGCTGTGTCCACCGTGAGCATGCAGAGAAGCCGGGGGAGCCCTGTGTGGGAGCCGGCGAACTCCTCAGTAGGGGCGACCCCGCTGCTGCAGACCCCTCACCCAGTCACAAGGCCCACCTCACACCGCACCTTGCTCTGGCCCCCGCCGTCGGGCTCGCAGGGCTGGGAGTCCTTCAGACTTCGCTCTCCTGCCATTCTCCAGAACCCAGCACGGCCCCCAAGGCAGCAGGCTCCTGGTGCTTGCTCCTCATCAGTTTCAGGGGTGGCTGCCCCCGACAAGGACCCCAGCTCGCTCCGTTCACCCCTTTTCATGCTGGCTCTGTCCACGCATCTCCCCAGCCACGCCTCAACCTCACGCAGTTCTGCATCCACTGCTCATTTCCACAGAGCTCCAACACAAGCCCTCCTCTTCTCTTCCCGTGCTCTCTAAAATGTGCCAGCACCACACGTTCTGCCCCACCTCACCTGGCTTCGGCACAAGTCCATACACCGCCTGACGACCCTGTCTGGCCTAAGGCTGCTGCAGAAGGCCTCTTCCAGCTTCGTCTGCCCACACTCGTGGCCTGAACTGAGAACCTGTCAGGGTCACCTTGAGCATGGCATCCACCACAGAACCGGGTCCTGGCCAGGAGCCCTCTGTTCCCACCTGTCTCGTTGGAGGCTGTGTGCACGGACTCGCTAACTCTCAGGCATGTGCCACGGGCAGCTCTGCCACAGCAGGCCGTCCTGAGAGGATTCCTGTCCCAGTGAGATGCGCACACACTGTGAAACTGCCCACGGACAGGTCACCAGCAAAGAATCAACCCGTGACCAAGCACACGTGCTAGGTGCGAGTAGAGACTTCTAGTTTCCTGTAGAAGCGGGCAGGCTCTCAAGGAAGACCACCAACTTCCTCAGTTAATTATGAATCAAAGGGGACACAGTGGACGCCCCTCAGGACCACGCTGACCTGGAGGCAGCGTGGGACTCGGCTGTGCTCTCAGCAGAAGCTGACACTGCCATCTGCACTTCCCAGCAAAGGCAGAGTGTCCACGGCCTCCTCACACCCGTGTGCACCTGCACACGCACACCCTGGTACTGTGATGCGTCTTCCCCGCCCCCCCCTTCCCTGACAGTCTGCGTGACTCCGCCTCTGGGGCTCCCCAGGCTCCGGCAGTGCTGCACAGGCCAGGGCTCGGGTGCCACATGCACCCTCAGTTCATGGAATCTGTGTTCCTGATTCTCAGGAAGAAGTCCAGGGCCTCTCCTAAAGCTACAGATTAGGATTCTGAACACTGAAAACAGAACGGGAGGTAAAAAGAGTAACTTTAGAAATGAAGCGCTTACATTTTTTCCCACGGAGTATTTTCTCACACATACACACCATCAGCTGCAGGGACTGCCATAATGGCATAGTAGATTAAGCCTCCGTCTGTGGCACCAGCATCCCATATGGGTGCTAGTTTGAGTCCTGGCTGCTACACTTCCAATCCGGCTCCCTGCTAATGCCCCTGGAAAGCAGTGGAGGAAGGCCCAAGTGCTTGGGCCCCTGCACCCACGTGGGAGACTGAGAAGAAGCTCCTGGCTCTGGATTGGGCCACTTCTGGCCATTGAGGCCATTTGGAGTGTGAACCAGCAGAAGGAAGACCTCTCTGTCTCTCCTTTATTTATTTATTTATTTTTAATATATATTTTAAAGTCAGAGTTACACAGAGAGAGAAAGAGAGGCAGAAAGAGAGGGAGGTCTTCCATCCACTGGTTCACTCCCCAACTGACTGCAATTGCCTGGAACTGCACCCATCTGAAGCCAGGAGCTTCTTCTGGGCCTCCCATGTAGGTGCAGGGGCCCAAGGACTTGGGCTAATTTCTGCTGCTTTCCCAGGCCATAGTAGAGAGCTGGATCAAAGTGGAGCAGCCGGGACTCGAACTAGTGCCATATGGGATGCTGGCACTGCAGGCGGTGGCTTTACCAGCTATGCCACAACGTCAGCCCCTCTCGCTCTCTCATCTGTAACTCCGTCTCTCAAATAAATAAATAAACCTTAAACAAACAAACCAAACCAAAACTAAACAGCTGTAATCTGCCGAAACAGCAGTCTCACTGTAGCCCTTATTCTAAAAACTGCCGTGTTAATTTCACATTAACCTCATGTCACTGTAACTCACAGGTCAATAGCAAGTGCCAGGATGGGGCCGGTGCCATGGCGCAGTGGGTTAATCCTCCACCTGCAGTGCCGGCATCCCATATGGGCACTGGTGCGAGTCCTGGCTGCTCCTCTTCTCATCCAGCTCTCTGATATGGCCGGGGAAAGCAGTGGAGGATGGCCCAAGTGCTTGGGCCCCTGCACCCACGTGGGAGACCAGGAAGAAGCACCTGGCTCCTGGCTTTGGATTGGTGCAGCTCTGGCCATTGCGGTCATTTGGGGAGTGAACTAGTGGACAGAAGACCTTTCTCTCTGTCTCTCCCTCTCACTGTCTATAACTCTATAACTCACATAAATAAAATCTATCTATCTATATATATATATAAAGTGCCAGGAACGAGAGTATGCCAACAGTGGTGAAAGAAGTCTAGTTTCTCCAGCTTTGTATGAGGCAAGCAGTCTAAAAGCTATATTCAACTAAAGAGGAGTACACTGAAATTTTCTTTTTAATGATATTTAATTGTATTCTCCTCCCTCCGCCCCACCCCTACCTCCAAGGTTAGCTGCATGGTTAAATTTCCAGGTACCTGACAAATTTAAGATCTGTATCCTGGCTGGAATCTCGCAGTCTCTTCAAAAATGAGTTCTTTGAGCTTTTCCTTAGGCAAGTCATCCAATTCCATGTCGAACTTGAATGGAGCTTCGGCGATGGGCTTTAAGAGAAAATGAAACAGTTAATGGCTGAAAGCTGTTAGACAAAGGTCACAATTTACTGACTCATAAAACGACCACGGCTCAGCCTCTGCCACACGGCCACCAGGACTGGCGCCCCCTAACGCTTGGGTGCTCTGGCAGCACCTGCGCACCTGTGCACCTGTGCCCACACTCCTGCCAGCACCTCCGGGAAGCACTGAGAAGCGGACTGGGAGTACCTGAACTTACTACAACCCCCAGAGCAGCCCTCAAATGCCTGGAAGGCACAGACACCGCTGCGGCAAGGTGGTGGTACGCTGATACCGTCAAAACCCACAACACTAAAATAAATGTACTTGGCTGACTCAGTTAGGATATCTTTACATGAACATATATTACAGAGCTATTAAATATGAAGCTACAAGGAAGATCCACATCATGAGAAAGTGCCCATGTTTATGTCTAGGAGAACAACTTATTTTTAAAAATTTAGATTAAAAAACCCAAAGCAGGAAGCAGACACTCTAAAAGGCAAAGATTGCTATGCACACTGAATGACAAGGACACGCACCAACCAGCCTCACATCGTCACGTCTAAATGCCCATACAGGAAGACGATGTCACAGAACTAAGATCTCGATGACACTGGCTGTCAATGAACAAATGCCTGGACCCCAGTTCTGGAGGGAGGGGGCAGGGAGACCAAGCTCAGGCTCGATGCTATGGCCGCCAGACTTGGTAGGGAGAGGGATTCCTGTCCGCGGGGGAAGAACAAGGAGCATCCCCGCCCCCAACAAAGATGGCTCTATTCACTGGTTAGGACACGGACGTTTAGGAAGTGTCCACCTGTGCAGCCGGGCAGCACCCCAGACCTGGTACTCCCACCTTCTCCACATCACTGACCATGCCACAGGTGTCTCTGTGGGCTGCCTAGAGTGTTTCTGGGGAAGGGGACTGGCGTGGGAGAGGACACTTACCAGAGCACACCTCTGCCTTCTCGTTTTTTCTCTTCTCTCTTACCAGCTTGTAGAGCTTAGGTTGGTTGTTTCCATTTCTCTAATTTTTTTTTAACATATCTTTTATTTATTTATTTTTTTTGACAGGTACAGTTAGACAGTGAGAGAGACAGAGAGAAAGGTCTTCCTTCCGTTGGTTCACCCCCCAAATGGCTGCTATGGCCGCCGGCTGGCACACCGTGCTGATCCGAAGCCAGGAGCCAGGTACTTCCTCCTGGTCTCCCATGGGGTGCAGGGCCCAAGGACTTGGGCCATCCTCCACTGCACTCCCGGGCCAGAGCAGAGAGCTGGATTGGAAGAGGGGCAACCGGGACAGAATCTGGCGCCCCAACCAGGACTAGAACCCGGGGTGCCGGCACCACAGGTGGAGAATTAGCCAAGTGAGCCGCAGTGCCAGCCTAACATATCTTTTAAAATTTATTTATTTGAAAGGCAGAGAGACAGAGGAGAGAGAGAGATGGAGAGACAAGCTAGAGCTCCAATTCACTCCTTCGACGTCCACAACGGCTGGGGCTGGGCTGAGCTCACAGGCGGGGGCCAGCAACCCAAACCAGGTCCCCGCTGTGGGTGGCTGGAGCGCAGTTACTCAGGCCGTCACCACTGTCTCTCAGGGTCGGCAACAGCTGGAAGCTGCAGTCAGAAGTAGAGCTGGGAACCCCAGTGTGGGACGCAGGCATCTTACCTGCAAGGCTAAACACCTGTCCCTACTCCCCTAGTTTTAAAATGAGGTGTGTGTGTGTAGAACCGGCGCTGTGGCACAGTGGGTGAAGCCACAGCCTGCAGCGCCAGGATCCCATATGGGCGCCGGTTCAAGTCCCGGTTGCTTCACCTCCAATCTAGCTCGATGCTAAAACATCTGGGGAAGCAGAAGATGGCCCAAGAACTTGGGTCTCTCTCTGCCAACCATGTGGGAGACCTGGATGAAGCTCCTGGCTTTGGCCTGGCCCAGCCCTGGCCACTGTGGCCATTTGGAGAGTGAACCAGTGGATGGAAGATCTCTGCTTCTCCTTCTCTCTTTTAAATAATACATCTTTAAAAAAATGAGGAGTGTGATGGCTCCATTCTGAACGTATCTGAGCAAGATACGTTCTACAAGAACGTATCTACAAGAATCCATACTTCTGCTCGCATTGCATTTTTTTCTTTGTTACCCTCCAGAGAATGAAGCCGAGCTGAACCCACAAGGGAACTGCAGCTGTCCTGGCGAGAGCACACACACAGGACCTTCACCTGGATGGCTGCCTGCTCTGGAAAGCACCTCGCCCACCTCTGGCCTCGCCCTGTCTCACCATTCCTTCTCCAGGGGCTCTGGGTCTCCGCCCCCAGGGAGCGGGGAGGCAGACACGGTGTCAGCAAGCCTAGTGGGAACCAGTCGGGCGGATTTCTCACTTGAGGAGCGAGCACCCTCCTCGCCCTAGCAGGCTGCCCAGGCCTCTCTGCCCTCGCCTCCCGCGGGGCCAGTCCACCAGTCCAGGTCTCCAGCTCCGGCGCCCTGCCCGCTCCGTGCTCTTCACAGGAAGGATGCTCTGCCTTACTTTCTCAGGCCCCGCCTACGGCAAGTGGCCTGGAGGAGGCTCTGAGATGGACAGAGGGGCTTTAACCTCCGCCCTACAGCACTCAGCCTCAAGGCCGAGGCGGCGGGCACCTGGGAGGACCGGGCACGGCAGCGTGGACTCTCAGGGCGGCTGGGTCCACGGCCAGGAGCACAGCTCTTACCTCGTCACTCGGGTCGTAATACTGCTCCAGGTAGGGGTGGGCCAGGGCCTGCTCTACTTCGATCCTCTTGTGAGGGTTGAAAGTCAACATCTTGTCCAGCAAGTCCAGAGCTGCCGAGAGAAAGGTTTTGGCAGTGGTAAGAAGCAGAAGCAGTCACCAAAAGCACCCTCCAATTCCTGCTTAAGTCGACGGGCCCGCTGAACCGCTGAGCCTGGTCAGCACCACTGCCGGGAAGAACAGCGGCATGCCGAGCGCTGGCCACGGCTTCGGGTCTCCCGAGCCCATGCCGACCACCTCAGCACTCAGAGAGCAAAGCAATCACCGTAAGGCTGACAGCAGAAGATCGAGAATCTGCCTGGGAAACCTGGCCTTCTCCTAAATCACTCTTCTGTTTGCAGGTATCAGAAGCAATGGTTTTATGTAGCTGTTTCTCTCAGACCAACTCCATAGTCACTTTTGCACTTTTCAGTTCACCTCTCAAAGCACAGAATAGGCCTCCAAGGTCACAGAAGCAGTCTTCTTCCGGGTCTTTGCTGGGAGTCCTGTGTGACCGACAGCCTGCCCTGCAGCTCGAGTCTGTCTGCAATGGCCCATAGCTAACAGTGCTCCCTCTGCCTGGCCAGCAGTCAGCAACAATTGGGGCGTCTCTTTCATGTCAGGGGCAGTGGGAGGAGCAAGGTGGGATCAACAGGGACGAGATGGAGGGGGTGGCTAGCGAACAGCTAGTGCCCAGGCCCTACCTCAAGTCCCAAGGATGGCTATAGGGCCTAGCTAGTAGCAGCCAGGACGAAGGTGAGGGGAAATGCAACAAAGTACTTTCTGTGCTTAGTGGTGGGATTAGGACTCCATGAGGAATCCCACACACTGGGAAGTATATTACTTTTCTGGTAAAGAGACGGTAAAAGGTTTTTTTTTTTTCTTTATTTCTTTATTTATTTTTGACAGGCAGAGTGGACAGTGAGAGAGAGAGAGAGGAAAGTCTTCCTTTTTCCGTTGGTTCACCTCCCAATGGCCGCTATGGCCGGCGCACCGTGCTGATCCGAAGCCAGGAGCCAGGTGCTTCTCCTGGTCTCCCATGTGGGTGCAGGGCCCAAGGACTTGGGCCATCCTCCACTGCACTCCTGGGCCACAGCAGAGAGCTGGACAGGAAGAGGAGTGACCGGGACAGAATCCGGTGCTCCAACCGGGACTAGAACCCGGTGTGCCGGCGCCACAGGCAGAGGATTAGCCTAGTGAGCCGCAGCGCTGGCCAAAAGGGGGCTTCTTCCAAAACACATGTTTTGGTCTCCTTTCAATGGCTGATGCTCAGAGCAGCGGTTTTCACCTTAGAGAGTAGCAAGTCCTTTCTCTAAGTTAAATCCTAAGAAAAGCCTCAAGATACAAAGCAGGAAAGAAAGGAATACTTCCGCCTCTCTTGGGTCTTGGTTCATAGACCCTGAGGTACTCTGGCAAAACCCAAAGCTCCAGGGAACAAGACCAAAACTCCAGCACAGGTCTGAAGAAACCAGTAGCCAGTAAAGAACACAAAGTTCTAGCAAATGTAACACCCAAACCAAGCAAACACGTGACCTCTGCTTAAGAAAGCCTCCATCTCTTCTTAGGTTACCGTTAGGCGGCAACACCAACACCAACCTCTACCGCAAACCGCGACGGAGGACATGCCGTGGGAATGGTGAAACCACGTGCAACACCCAAAATGTAACATTTGTTACGTCTGGTATTCGTGATCAGTTTTCGAAATCACGTCCAGCTTACTTTCAAGGAAACGTTAATCACTTTATTGACCAACTAAAATGCTCGACCCCTGAGAGCTGGCCAGTGGCCCGCCTGTGCATGAGGTGGAGGCCAGGGAGGGCCCCTGTGGCCAGAGGTCCCCGAAGGGGCCTGCACGTGTTCCTGCTCCTGGCCCCTCCGCCCAGCCCCAGCTTCTGCTGCTGCAGGCCAACACAGGACAATAGGGGACAGCAGATGTGGCAAGCCCCTTGTTGGGCTCTGTGCACAAATCCACCCAAAGAACTCTTTATCACATCCAAAATACACAGCAGCTTAAAAAAAAGAAGAAAAAAAAGAGCACAAGATAGCAGACTGCTACCAGGTACTTCATGTGCACTCCTGCTTCTGTCTATCATCTTCCGGAAACACACTCACAAATGTACGCTGGGAAATCATGCAATGGTGAGATGTTGCTTTACAGGGCAGAAGGTGTTCTCAGGGCTCCGGAGAGGTCTGGCCTGCTGCTGGGGACGAGGTGGGATAGGACCAGGCACTCAGGCCCCTGTGGCTCCAACCCTAGTTTCACAGAACACTGGGTAGGCCGTGTGGACAACAGTTTAGGTGTCTGCTGAGCCTCAGATCCCTGGTGTCTACATGCAGGTTGGCAAACCTACCTCCTGCCTGCTCCCAGCCTCCCCTCCCCCTAGGAGTGCAAGGACTTTTTTGGAAGGAGATAAGAAGTCACTTGGCCTTTGCCCAGCTGGACAAGGTCTGTGCTCGGAAAAGCCCAGGAGGACTTCACCACAATCGGACTCTAGCAGCTATTCTCAACTGCTGGGGCCACTCCTCCCTCCCGCGCAAACTCCCTGGGTCCAGGAAGCAGCAGGGCGACAGCATGTTTGCAGCTTGAGCAAACGCAGATCTAGCACAGACCTGTGAGTGCCTGTAAGTTAAATTCTAGGTTCTTACACCTCTAGGCAAACATTCCTGTCGCTCCCCCTCTTCGTGGAGGAACGACACAGGACCCTGAGCTGTTCTTTCGTCTGCTCGGCCCTCCCCGGGTTTGCTGCTGGTTCTTCCCGGGTTGGCTACCGACCCTTCCACCTCCGTGGAAGGGCGGTTCCCCCTGCCACATTCCCCACTTCCGCAGGGGAGCGGCACACCGCCGGCCGGCTCTCTCGGGGGCTGCACAGGTGTTCCCCTTAGATGTTCCTGGTGCATGCCGTCTCTCTCCTCCTTTATAGTCCTCCTCTGCCAATCCCAACTCGGCTGCCCACACGCCGAGTACGCTGCTCTCCTCCAATCAGGAGCAAGTCCTACAGTTTATTGGCTGAACTGGAGGCAGCTGTGTAGAAGCTGTTTTCTCCTCTCCCAGCGCCATATTGTGGGAGAGCAGATGCATAGAATAAGTCTTAATTCCAGTAACTCAGTCCAGTCCGGGTTGCTCCCCACAATTCCAAAGGAAGACAGTCAGGTTTCCTGCTCTACCTGAAGACGCACTGGGTCTCTAGCCTCTTTTGTTGCCAGAGCTATTTCTGCTCTACCCGCCACGCCCGAGGGAGAAGGAGGGCAATGGGAAGCAGCAGGCAGGTGCAGCTCCCACAGCCAGAGTCCCCAGCCTCCCTCCTCCCACACCACGGCGATCTGCCGGCACCACTCGCAGGGTGAACCACGGCTGCCTGCCTGAGTGCCGACCTAGATACAGGCTCCATTTCCCCTAACACTGGAAGTCCCTCTCGGCTGGGACTGCATCAGACCACAATCCTGGCTCTCCCTGGTGCCCACCCATAATCCCACACCTTCTCCTGAACTTTAAAGGGCGCCCAGCAACCTGAGCCCCACTACTTCCCACTCAGCAGCCTTGCTTCCTCCCTGTCCTCGCTCAGACCCTGGGAAGCCCATCAGCCGAGCTCCCCGGAACTTCTCTGGGTCCATTTGCCTGCCTAATCCTGAATCAATGCTGCAAGCTGTGACCTCCACCTGCCACTCCTGTTTCTGAGCAGAGCTGCAGAGAAGGACCCAACTGCACACTTTCCGACCCCAGAGCCTCCTCATCTCTTAAATGTTACTGAGGATTCATTTTAAAAAGCAAGATTCAGCTCCCAGCTCCAGCATGCGCAGGAGCACTTCTCCTAAGAAAGTCGCCGTACTCAGCGGACCCCCTTGGTGTCAGTCACCATGAAAGCCACGCGCAGAGGGCGGGACTCTACCAAGGAGCACTTCCACTGCTTCACTGCAGTAAGAGCACCTGGGCTGGTGGCTGAGCTGTTCTCTAAGCCCATGTACCGCGAGTGTGGACCGCAACACAGGCACGCGTGTATGGAGAGCCTTGGCAGAATTACACAACGGTTCTTTTTTAAGATTTATTTGAAAGGCAGAGTTACAGAGAGGCAGAGACAGAAGGGGGTGGGGAGGCAGACAGAGTCTTCTATCTGCTGGTTCACTCCCCAGGTGGTGGCAACAGCAGGAGCTGTGCTGATCCCTTCTTCCCGGTCTCCCACGGGGGTGTGGGCCCAAACACTTGGGCCATCTTTTACTGCTAACCCATAGCAGAAAGTGGGATTGGAAGTGGAGCAGCCGGGACTCGAACTGGTGCCCATATGGGATGCTGGCACTGCAGGCAGTGGCTTTACCGGCTGTGCCACAGTGCTGGCCCCAACAATAGTTCTAACCTCACCGACATCATGAAAGGATCTGGCGACCTCAGGGATTTAAGGGGCACGGCTCTGTAACTGCTGTGTGAACCCTCAGATTTTATCAAGGCCCTCAAGAGCTTCAGGAAACTCTCAGTCAGCCCCTGCCTCTACTCTGGGATCCCACCCAGCCCACATGCAATGACCAGTGCTCTTCTTGCCAACTGACCTTCCATTACCCTCAGCAGACTTCAGAGCCACTGAGAAGTCAAGAGACCACCAAGAGTGACCTGCCCTTCCAATGTCCATTCCTTCTCCAGCCCATGAGCCCCTCCCCCAAGGTGAGCCAGTTCTGTCTGTCTCCACTTTCCATTTCAAGCTCCCCCTCCCACTGTTTCAAGGACTCCTGTAGGGCCACCAACAGCCCTTAACTAGAACATCAGTCCACACCTTTCAGTTTGTCTTGCCAGTCCCCTACTTCATGGACACTGCTGTGGAGTCCACGTTCAGGCAGAGTGGACAGTGAGAGACAGAGAGAAAGGTCCTCCTTTGCCATTGGTTCACCCTCCAATGGCCGCCGTGGCTGGCGCACCGTGCTGATCGGAAGCCAGGAGCCAGGTGCTTCTCCTGGTCTCCCATGGGGTGCAGGGCCCAAGCATTTGGGCCATCCTCCACTGCACTCCCTGGCACAGCAGAGAGCTGGCCTGGAAGAGGGGCAACCAGGACAGAATCTAGCGCCCCGACCGGGACTAGAACCCGGTGTG